TGAAAGTTTGCATTACGTGCATCTTACAACGATATATATTATCTTATAACAGCGAACAGACTAAAGCTCCCTGATATTGATCCGATCAGAAGTACCGAATGAAACGATGTTCAGCGTTTCTGACAGTTGAAATTTTAACAATTTTGTGTGTAAAAATATTTCACTTGAAGTTTGCATTACGGGTATCTTAAATATCGCTAATTATCGTATAAAAAACAAATTTTTTGTAATGATAAGAGAAACGGGAATACTGTTCGAAATATTGCTCAGCAGAAATACAAAGTATTTATAAGGCCACCTTCCAAATAATATACGAGATGTTCAGCGTATGGAGACTCTTTCATCTTAAGTACAACATATTGGAAGGAAAACTCATAATTATATACATTTTTTTATATACCTGATCTTTCAGTTCGTATAAAACTGTTGAAAAAACTGGTTTAAGTAGTAGATGAATTCAACGAACAAACGCATCTATTTCCATCTACGATTCAAATTTCATATCTTCATCAAAATTGTTCAGAACAGCCTAACAACCAGGGCTTCGTATGGACTTGGCTCAGAAAATTTTGAAATCATGGAGCCAAATTGGAATAACTCAAATATCCGCAGCAACGATTCGTTTCCAGAAAGTTTTAATACATACAGATGTGTACTAGCTTATAAGGACATACAAACAATTTTCACTTCAAACTCATCAACAAGAGTTATCCTTATTTTGCTTTATAAGACATGCTACTGGAAAGATAAAAAATTCACAAGATCCATCAGACTATTTGCTCAATCGACTCAACTCGAATTGAACCGAACTAATTTTTTAAAGTCATTGATTGGGTGTTTTCATTGCTCAATCGGAGAAACATTCCTGAGCAAAATGAGTTTAAAAATCTTAAAAAAGAGAGACTACTATTTTTACTTAACAGAGATGTCGAAAATGACCTTGTTTTTCCTTCACAAACGTAACAATTTATTCAAATGATCTACAATTACCCTTCTCTTTAGAAATAAAAAGCATAAAAAAACGATACTTTCATCACATGTCTTTCAAGAATATCCTATGTTACTAGTCTTTCTAACACGAAGAATCAAATCGAACTATTTTAAAAACATTTTTTTCGGTCGTGCTCCATTCTCTCGCTAAACGGCTCTTATACACAAAACAAGTATACAACTAGATATCAATAGTACTATATTTTAAGCATTAAACATATTATTAAGCCCCCCAGATACCACCATATCTCGAAAGCGACTGTCACGTTAACACCATTTCGTAGCTCAGAGATCGGAAAGGTCTTAAACTGAAGCTGACACATGGGACCAGAGGCTAACAGAGCCCGATTTTTGATATTCTAGATTTGTGATTGGAAAAACATCTTTATCTAAGTTAATGAGACTTTTTCGAATTTTGGACTTTTGACGCTGATCATTAATTTGAAACGACAACTATCAAAAATTCGGCTCTATTACTCTCTACCCACATGTGTTTTCATAAATTAATACCTCTTTCATAACAGACGATCCCTCACAGAGCTGTGAATTGTGGAATACGGAAGCCCAATAGTAGATGACGAGTTCATTTAGAACTGAGATTTGAGTCCGATAATTGAGTTTTCGTGTTGTTATACATCTTTATTGATTCTAATAAAAAGGTCAGCGGTCAAAGATCATTATGGACCTAACAATAATAAAGATGTTGCCAGTAGGTGGCCACGGAACGGTATGAAATAAGAAAACAAAAAGTAGTTTTCATCAAAAAGATGAAAGAGTCTCCATACACTGAACATCTCGTATATTATTTGGAAGGTGGCCTTATAAATACTTTGTATTTCTGCTGAGCAATATTTCGAACAGTATTCCCGTTTCTCTTATCATTACAAAAAATTTGTTTTTTATACGATAAGTAAGTAAATGATACCAGCTCTCGAACACAAGAAATATTTTTTAGAAAAAATGTTGTTCTCTTTATAATCGTGACAATTTATTCAAATGCTCTACAATTTTCGTTCTCTTTAAAAGTGAAAAGCATAAAAAACGATACTTTCATCACATGTCTTTCAAGAACATCCCACGTTACTAGGCTTGTCTAACATGGACAATAAAATCGAATTGTTTTTAAAAACAGTTTTTCACAATTCTACACATCTTTATCAAACATACTATAAGTTGTATAATAGAGCATAAGTATAAGTTCGAGAGAAATGTCTGCTTACGTAGTCTCTAATCATTCACTACGCCTTTGAAATTTAGTAATGCTATCATAACAAGACAATTTATGAGAGAATAAAATTGAAACATGTATTTTTATTTGATTTTTTCTTACAAGTTCTGGTGTTGGATCACGAACTCTATTGATAAGATCAGATAGCTGTTTCGGAAAAACCAAAGTAAATGTGGTGGATAAACGTCAGTATCGACAATTATTCTACCAGTGTGCATATTATCATCGTACATTGAAAAGTTTATTTCGACTATTAGCTTGGCTGTATATATTACCTATTAGCGGTCCTGTTCAAATAACAAGTTTAGTATTCGTATTACATCAATTTGATGCCGGATTTAAGACTATATTGCCGGGTAAAAAGATTATATGAAACGTTGCACAGGAGAATATTCAAGATAGTAGCATACGCAATGTGTGACGAAAACTAGCTGATTTATTGCACTCACGTGTTTTTTTGGATTAGAAACTAAATCAATTTTTAAAAGAGACATTGGTTGATTATGATATAAGAATTAACGGGTGATCCAGAATAAATCGGTCGGTTTCCTGAGCTTTATCATGCTTTTAAAAGATGCGCCTTGAAATTTCTAAACAAGAATGTATTGAACAATTTTTCATATACCATAAAAATAAAAGAGTATGAGTTAAATAATGAGAAGCTTTAATGTCTATGACTTTGCAATGCAAAAAAAAACAAATTGCAGTTTTTTGGTCCTTTATGTTTTGTTGAACCAAAAAAGAGAAGATGGCCGTTTTGTGACCGTTAGAAAGCTTTATCAACTGGCTACATTTAAAACTATGTTAATCACATCCATCATGGGAGAATCTTTTAACACGGTGAAAAGCAAACACTGACTGGGATTGCCTTATCCTACAATCACATAATTCTTCTGTTACATAGAGACAGAGAAAGCTTTTATTTCTTTTTGTTAAGAGATAAGGCCACAAAAATTCCCTTTCTTTTGGCAAAGCTTGGTAAAATCGCCTTTTATGCACCAAAATCACGTCTAAATCAAACGTATGATAGATGAAAAGATACAAGGCACTTCGCAGTATGAGAACATACATTTTCGTCCCACTTTTATGCATAGTACCCGCGATGCAAGGGCATAGATTTTTAGATCGCCCGGTGAGCTCGCCGTAAGTAACAAAGAACAAAAAAGAAACATCACAACCTTTACTTTTGTGCAGAACGGACAACTAGAACAAGTGATTAGAATACCCTCTATAAAAGTTTGCGTATGACGCTACTGATTGCTAAGAAAAGATTGTATCAATCCGTCTGTCACCCGTGGATACTCGTCTCTTCGTCAGAAGTAAGACAAAAAAGACATGGCGAAGAGTAGGATCCGCGAATATACTCGCCACTCGTTCAGCTCTACGTTCAACATAATTTTTTTCTGTTGCTTTTTGCATTACAAGGTCACAGAGATTGAAGCTTCGCATTATTTAACTCATACTCTTTTATTTTTACGATGTAAAAAAGAATTTAAATACATTTGTTGTCGAAAATTTTCTAGGCGCATCCCTTAAAAGCATAATAAAGCTCAGGGAATAAAATCTAACTGACGATATGAGATGCTCGTGAGATATGAGCAAAATACTAAACGATTTATCCTGAGCCATCCGTTATATTCATATCTTACATATGTGTAAAATTGTTCCGCTAGTTTTTCAGCCACTAATTATGGTATTAGCCAACTACGAATTATATTACAAAATGTTGGTTTCATATTTCCTATGTTAACAGCTGATCGAAATAAAATGTTCTCCATATTAAATGCTTTTGATACATTCATTACACCTCATTTAGATCCAAGTAAAACGGAAAATGTTGGAATATTGCGTTTAGAAGGTCATACAGATCAGAAGATAAAACTGATTAAACAAATTCAGTTATATAATCAGATTAATTTCCCTCCCGATATGAACATAATGACTGTTGCTAAAGTTGTTAGTGGCTATATGAGCACACCAACATTTATTTCAGAATATGCATTCATTAAATATGATAGAGAACAAAATAGTAACGAATTAAATAATAATGTTGATACGTTTACAAAACAATGCATGATGAGATGGTAAACAAAAAGAAATCAAAAGTTGTTAATAATTGATATGAAACGAAAATTTTTACTTTGAGGTTTGAAATTATCGAGAAAATTATTCAGTTTTACGTGAATATCGCAGAAAAAGATCGTACCATATTCCCGAGACAAACTGTATTTATTAGTACAGGTTTTTTGGGTTATAGTAGTGTTATGACGGCGCTGGTGCTTCAAACCACGAATGGTGATCCCTATGTAGCAGCGATGGCCTTGGCAAAACAAACAAATCCATTACCAGAGCATATTTTTCATAATCGACGAACTATATTTTCATTACAAGATGATCAAGGATTAGAAGATATGTACAAAAGCACACTAATAGTAAGTTAGCGTTGGATTGTGCAGTATATTACGAACATAACTATCAGCAATACTTTTGGCTCAAACCCTAGTAATCTTTAGTTTCATAATCATAGGCAGTAAAATTTCCTCACAGACTAGTTTCACCTGAACGATTTTCTGGAGATATCCCCTGAAGATCCTTGGGTGACCCATGGAGGTCCTCTAGAGTCCCTCTGAAGATTCCGAGAATATATCCATTTGATGCACCATAGTTGCTTAACTATGAATCCACTTTTTCTGCGTATAATATTTAGCACTTTATAGCAAACTACAAACTAGATTAAAAGTCGAAGGAACAAGGTCTCTTAATTGGTCAAAATAAAAAAGACAGAAGAATTTTTTCTTATTTCTCATCGTAACTATGGACTACTACAATAATGATATATGATGCTAAATTTTGAAAGAAATTCAAGTTGTTTATCAAAAGTTATAAGTAGTCCTACTAACAAGTGTAAACGAGTCATTCTACGGACTTTACCTAATGCTTATTGTTTAGATATCTGGTAATTTTTCACGAGGTGGGCAGTTCAGGCGACGATCTGGATGGAAATCACCAGTTGCTATTGTAACTTTCCTCGGTTTATTAGCTGTTATTATCCTTGGGACTCTAAAAGCTACCGGCGTGCTTCGCGGTAAAACAAATTTGGCCAGAACAACATTTTCACCGGCAAATGGTAAAATATGCTACTACATCCTCGAGAATCTGCATTTATTTTCTTTGAAGATGCACAAATGGTTATATCAAACAGAAGTGTAGAATCCTTTGTTCTTCCACCAGTAGAACAGCCTACATCAGAACAATTAGCTATAGTAATCAGTTCTGCAGTAAACGTCACATTAGCAACCGTGACATCTGAGTCTTATTCATTGCATGTACAACAACTAAGCAATGTCTCAGCATCAATCAACACTATTTCTGGTTTAAAATCGCGATCGTTACTAGCTATCATTGGTATAACAATCATCCTGCTTTTAGTCATTACTATCGTGCCATTTTGCGTTTATCGACGACGAAAAAAACAACAACTAGTCGAAGATTATAGTGCAACATCAAAATCGCCAAGTAAGAATTTCAGACAATCATTGAATAAATCATTAACACCATCATCACCAGATTAAATGATTAGAGTCAACATAATACTAGATTGTTAGAACTTAAATTGAAGATGGCACAAGATGTACCTACAAGTACAGCATATCTATCGCTAGCATCAACGAAGCTTCTGTTTCATATTTATGATTCGGTCAAACTATATATCTCATGAAAATTCTCAACCATTATTACAAATTTTCGAATAGTTTGATAATTTTTTAACATTCCGCTAAAATAACGCCGACATATTGCTGTTTGTCATCTAGAAAATATTCAGAATGTAGTTTTCAAGTTTTTGCATTATTTAAGTTTTAAAATGAAATTGACAACACTTGGTGTAAAACACTGAATTCTTTTTTATTTTTTCTAAAATGATTCATTGTCATGGTTCCATGGTACATTGGGATGATTTTTAACAATAACGTACCTCCGATCTTCCATGGTTATTGATTGTTCTTATTCAATAAGAGTTTAATATGATGATATCCACGCAGACAAGCTTCGATTTATTTTATTACAAAATTCGTTTTCACGGTTTTTATGCTGATAATTGAGATAAATCAAAAAGCCCCTGAATTTCTTACCTACAAAACATTTTCTTTGAGTACTCACCTTCAAATCAACAAAATTTTGAACTCTTAAAGATTGTTGAGAGAAATCTAGTGAGCAAGTGGTAACAAGAATGGCCATCACTAGGTGTGCACTAAAGCTCCATATGGACTCAAAATTCTGAGTCCAAGTCCAGTCTATGAACTAAAAAAATCTAGCCCAGTCTGAATCCATGAAAAATAGTTTTTTCAGAAGAATTATCAGATATTTTCGTTAATAAATACATTTGTTTCGTCTGAAGCATCATTGACACTTACTTGTGTTGTTATTAAATGTTGATGATAACACTATCGTAATGCGTTTGTTATTTATCCTAAAATAATCGTCTAATAATGCCTTTTTTCTGTGTATAACGTAATATTTTAGTAGTATTTCCGCTTCATTTAACGAAAAGAATTCAACAGCAAAGTTTCAGTAGGGTTTGATTTTCACAATTATGATTTTTGGAAAAAACTGATGCCTTCTTTGGGAAAGATTATTAGATATTTAGATTTTTAAAATAACAATCAGACCGGTCTCCAACTTTCTGTGATCTTGACAATAAATTTGAGATTTCAAGCAGGATTTCACCTAATTTCTCACTTTTTCCCATATACACCAAACTCTATGATCTTAGCACGAAAACCTTATGACTTTATTGTGATAACACAAACGTCATGAAAAGCTTGAAACAAGATCGAGTTCCAAGTGAAATCATTTCAACGGCACTATGGCAAAATTGTGCTAGAATGTCATCAGAGCAAGATTGTGGTAAGATTGAACAAGCTATTTTGCCACTTACATGGCTCTCGCTTCTTTCTTTTGATAATTCAGCCTTTTTATCGCCTGCTAATAGAACACGATAATTAATATACTTTTTTGCGTAACAGTTCCATTTTCAGCGTCTAAACGTCTTCATCCGTAGTATAAAGATTTTAATAATTTTTAAACATTTCTGTTTTTTGACATTCCATGTTTTATCTTACGACTAAACTCACGCTTTCCCGTTATGTTACGACCTTTGATCTCACACTTTATTATAAGGTTTCTTTCCTCCGTTTACTGTTATCAATCAGGTTTCATCATGCTTACTTGGCATTTTCTTCAAGAACAATGGACAATCAAGATTTTCTTCTAGACCACCTTCCCTAGAGCACACGATAGTTTATTTTCTTTGTTTTAGGGTTTAACCTTCATTCCATTCAGTATTCGTTGTTGATGCAAGATCCGGTGCCAGATGTATTCCTCAAGGTTATTTGTCGATGTAGAGTCCACAGTTCCAATTTGATACATTGTTGCTAATTGATTTGAACAGCAGTGAGAGAGGTTGATATTTTCTGTATTTTATCTACACTAGACGTTTAAGGTAACGTTTGCAGTATATGAAAAAACATTCACATTCGGACTTTTAGTGGATGTACTTGAACTATCGTGTACTCTGAGAAGGATGATCCAGAAGAAAATTTTATGCTGCAAAGTTTAGCTATAACTTATATATGTGATCAAGCACTTCTCTTTGTTAGAGAAAAAATAGACTATTTTTCTTTATTTATTAATTCTTTGCACTTTAGGCTGAAAGAAATCGAATTCGGTTTCAACCACTAAAGAACAACAATGAGCTAACGTCGAGTCATACTATTAATAATGATAAAAAAAGCACTTGAACAGACATCAAGGTACTTTATAACTGCAATCATTGTTAATTTATTTTGTAATAGAAAGGTTGTTTATCAATCTGATGTATCACAGTTACGTACTTAATTTCTGAATATTTTGTATAGAATTAAAAATAATCTTGCATCTTTAGGCACAAATTTAAAAAGACAATACCAATTTATTCCACAAACTAAAAGTTTCATAAATGGCAATAGACAATAGTGAATTTTAAACTTTAGAACAATGACTGTTTAACTCATACAATTAATATTTTCATATTATTGGATTATTAGTACTGTCTATTTTACCGCTGTGCAATGATACAAGCTATCCATCAGCACTGAGCATCACGGAAAAGCATTCGCAAGCATCTTAATCCTCGTGGACGATAGTCTCGCGATTTATCGGATTATTTAGTCTGCTATGGGGAGCTTTAATATATACTTTTTTTCTGGATCAATGTGGTACAGTCATGGAAATATTTCGTTTTTCAGTTTTAGTCGGACCACTTCTGGATCAATACTACCATGAACTTTTTGTGTATGAGACAAAAATTTGAAAATGATTGAATTTTTAACAGCAGCTGAAAGAAGGAATAAAAGTGTGCTTCTGGACCGAGAATCGAGCCCAGAACAGTGGCATCACGTTACAAGTTAAGCAAAGCCATTTTGGGAGAATGATATACCTGGAAGATCGCCTTATACCTATACGGTTCTATGATTTCTCCAATCAGACTCATCATTTATGAGTAGATATTTCTTAACACGTTAATTTAGTTAAACCATTAATAGCTTCTGCCGTACGCGGACTCGTCAAGCTTATTCATGTCCGAAATATTTTCTTAAGAAACAAGCCAAGGCTGGTGCTGCCACGGCGGCCATCTCATTTATTCAATTTATGTGTGCTAGTGTTAGTATAAGAATCGTATTACCGGTTATGCACGTAATCACTATTGAACCATTGTTTAGTATTCCGACGGGTTGCAACGTAGTAAGGATTACGATAGGGAGTTTATTTGAAAATTCGTGTTCTACGAAAAAAATAAACCTGCCCAGATGCATGAAAACTGCCATTTAATTGTCTGTTAACAGCCTGTTAACGATATGGCAAAAAATTGTCGTTTAATGTGTAAAAAATGGCTTAAAATTGACATTTAATGTGCATTATAATGACCTTTCCTGAGTTTCCATTAACGTTGAAAAAAATGTCTAATAATGGCCTATGGCAAAAAGAATGCCCTTTCAGGGACACTGTAAAATGTCATTTTTCATCCAGTTATCAGACCGTCATCTAATGCAAAAGAAAAATGCTTGTAGGATAACTGATTTGAGGCAGTCTTTCCCACTTTCAAAACGGCAAAAAAACTGACCATAAATCAGCATCTAACAGCTAGTTTAGGGGCAGGTAGTTCTGAACTGATCGTACTAACGAAAGGCAAAATAATAAAGCAGAAAAAATGTCATCGTACACAGAGGATGTACGAAGTATTCTATTAGCAGAGTTAATCACTGTAGAGATAACAGTGTACTTCCATACACGTCCGCCCACTTTATACATGACTTAAAGCTGGGAAGGTTTGAGTATATGCAATCGGTAGTCCTACTAAAGGTATATAAAGACCCCTGTCATATTTCGATCCGCAAATGAGATTTTCTCCTCTGACATTCGGAAAGAATTTTTGACTTGAGGACCTTATCTGCATTAACAGATATCACTCGTTTTATAGCGTGTTGGACGAGTTCAAAATCTAACAAAACATAACTTTATTTATCTTCAAATGAATACCTAATTTAGTATTTTTTTCCTTTCCTGGTGTTAAGCAGATGATAGGATTTTGACGGGATTTCTAGAAAACCGCCAACAATCAAATGAATTTAGTACTACCAGTCAGCTGGCGACATGTGATTGGTGACACAATTGTTCAATAAAACAGCGATCAATCCCATGAAGCCGAATGAGATGACATTTATTTATTTGTTTGTTTGTTTAACCTTCATCTATGATTGATTGAAAAGCTTCCCACTGATGATTTAGATACTAGTTATAGTAGGAAATGAGGTTACTTAACCTTGGAGATGCTAAATCTGATGGCAGCGTTTATTTTATTCTACTTTAGGACACTTTAGGCGATTTACAAATAAAAAAACCAATCTGTTGCTACTTTGTCGTTTAGAGTTACAAAAAGATTTTCTATGCGATCCTATGTGCGACTTCCACCGAGAGCACTTCTAATAGGTTCATTCAGCATTAAGACATTTTAAATTTGATTTAATGGAACTGCCCCTCTAAAAGATTATCCTTCTAGCATGAAGCCTCCGTAATTCCGTTATATATTCTAGCTGAATTGGGTGACGTGCCGATGAGATTGAAACAGACGAAAAGAAGCTTAACCAAGGTTATTTGAAGAAAAGGAAACAAAAGGACAAAGAATTTCTATAGTAATAGAAGTTTTTTGCACGATAATTTTTTTCTGAAGATTTTTCAGGTGACAAAGAAATTTATCTCAGCATGATCGTTTGCAATAAACTTATTTCTTCTTGCTGATAAAAAGAAAATTTTTAATTAATGAACGACTTATTACAACCGATCTAAGTTTCACACCTCATTAGAGTTTATCACTTTCTTACAGCTCTGAGAAAAACTCCAAATCCAAATCACTGACACAGCGGTTGATAACGCCTCATTTCGAGAAAAATAAGTTGTTTATCTAACTGAACAGCTAAAAGGCGAGTCTGTTAATCAAATAGCAAATAATAATTTCAACCTGTGGAATAAAAGAAAACTACCATTTAACAGTACAGTAAAAAGAAAGCCTTTGGAAAAGAACTAATCCGTAGCAATTGGAAAATATAAAGTTTTTGACTGTTTTGAGCTTTTTTAATAGTGATAGTAGTAACAAATAGCTGTTTTTCATAAAAAGAAAATTGACATTTAATTTCTTGTTACAGCGAAAAAAATGGCTTTAAAACTCATTTATTTAAATGCCATTTTTTTCACATTTTCTAACGATCTACAAAATGACATTTAAATGACAAAAACATGTGAACAGCAGGGTTACTGGCAGCAGTTAAATGGCTGTTATGTGACCGTTTTTTGACATAAAAAAACGCGAAATAAATGCATTTAAACGTTGCCAGTTATAATGGTAAAAAAAGGCCTAAAAACTGAGTAAAATGTTATAAAAATGCCATTTAAAGGCTTATTAGTAGCGTATTAAATGGCATTTGATTGGGAATTAATTACACCGTTATCGACATATTGGGCGGGGTGACATAACATTAGTTGAGAGTAGCGATCGAAAGATATCGATCGAGCGAGATAAAAGCGATCGTTATTTATCGTTTCTATTCACGAAAAAATGAACGAATGTATCAGATTAAACGGATGAGTTTTAAAGACTCATAAAGAAGTAAACACTTCACAAAGAAATAGTCTTATTGTCTACGATGTTTTCTTTCTCCTTTAGCTTGTTTTGATCGAGTGGACTGAATATTTATCACAGTGAATCTTTCAGTAAATGTTAGTCAGAGCGTTGCCATTATTTTTCTTCAAACAGAGTGTGACAGTAATAAAAAGGAAACTCTCTAGAGGAGTTTAGATTTTCAAAAATATTTTTATTTGCCGCAGTGAAAAATGCTTTATAAGTACTCACCATCTATAGCTTAGATTAACAGAAACGTCAGTCGACGCCTTTTGAACATATTGTCAGTAAAATAGGCAATATCTGCTAGAACACGGTTCGAAACTGGAAACATAATAAAATTTTGATGCAGTTGTTTTTTATAATACGAAAATATTTTTCTTCTTTAGTTCTTTGATCCCTTTCTGTCCTGAATGTACTATGACACCCTGTACAATTATCGGCACATTAGTCACAAAATATTCATACTGTTTCATTTGTATTGTTCAAGAAGAATAGAATATTTGCTACAGATTGATTTTATTACCCATTCTATTGGCTTTTTTCCTTGAATTACGCATGAAGAAAAACGATTTCTAAAAAAACAAAGAAAAAAAAGGTATTTGATCTATTAATAATAATATAGTCTGCAGCAGGGCACGATATTCAAAATCTGATCGTACAAAAACAACTTCATTCATACTAATACTAAGTAAGCATATCAGGAATTTTCATTTACATGGTGAAATACTTGTATTTTACCATCGCAGCTGTTAGTATTAAGAATCGACGATGAAAATCTACTGAACTTCAAATGAATGATGCTAAAAGTAGTCTTACGTTTTGGCCCTATACTCTGTTTGAATAGATGTACATACCCTCCATTCAAGGCATGATTCTGTTGCTTTAGAGAACGACAAACTTACTCTGTTAGAAGTTCTAATACTACAAATCAGAAAGTCTTATATAAATTAGTGCAACTGATAGTGTCACGCTATGAAATAGGAAAAGAAAATACATATACATCATATCATGCTGTCGGATATGTATTTGAATATATCTTTAACTTCATGATGTTTAAAATCAGGAAGATATTTAACATCTAACGGTACGTGCAAGGATACATCTAGGCTGACGTTTGAAACTGTTTTAATAGCTCTTGTAGTATATCTTGTTCAACATCACTACCAGTAGATTTAATTAAAATCGTTACGTTTGTTTGTACTTGTTTCCCTTCATCAGTGACTTCACCCATTCATTGTTATTTTTCAGACATTCCCGCAATCATGGCACGTTTGTTCATTTTTATTGCTCTCCTTGCATTGACACCACATGCAACAGGTTTCTTTTGGGATTGGTTCCGGCCATCGCATCCGACCGAAATAGTGAATAGTGGTTCAACAAACGCCTGTGATTACACAATTACCATTAAAGGTCACAATGCGCACTATGTTGTATGTGGTAACAGAACTGGTACTGCAAAGCTATCAGATAGTGTTAAAAATCAGATTGCGCAAGCTGTCAAAGCTGCTGAGCCTCTAGACAAACTTCCTACAAGACCGTGTCCAAAATCAGCATCATTTGGTACAACGACAGTGGTTAAACATAAGGGGAAAGCAACAGGCGATATATCCTGTGCATCAACAGATCAAGTGAATAAGTTGTTTAACGCTACAGAAACAGTTGTACAACAACTACACCTTAATCTAGTAAAACATATTATCACGCTGCCGCTCTAATTTACGATTCATTGGGCATTATTGAGACTTTAATTATTTGGGAAAGCGGGTGCTTTGATTCCTTGTTCTATTAGTTCTATGAATAAATGTTTTTAAGTAATTTGTATCAGAATATAGTGCAAAAGTATTGATATAAACATGTTCATTCATTGTAGATGGCATATTCGATGTGCAGTATGAATCAGTTAGTTCGCCCAGCAAATGGTCTATCCTCAGCTTCAGTCCATTTCTCAACAAAATTTTTTTCAATCTAAATCGCTCATGTGAGGTATAATTGTACAGTGTCTTCAACATAAAAAAGTATTATTTGCAAGAAAGGAACATACGAGAATATTTATTTATATAGGATTTTCCTTTCTCTCTCTACAGATGGGCTCTTGAAATGTTAGAAATTTTTAATGAAACTGAAAGTGAGAGTGAGAATCTTTACCAAGCTCGTATAAAAAATCGTGAACCGCCAGATTCACAGTGGGCATTTTTTCCTAGAGCAGGCGGACTTTAGCTTTATGAGTGAACTAAAATTTCATGAACCATTTTTTTATAGGTTTTTCATGATCTTCCAATCTCAAAAACCAAGAAATTTCTAGAATTCAAAATCGAGCGACCGAAACTAGATGAGTTATACACCATTCGATGCAGTTTTTCACGCTGATTCCGAATATGACCTTCAAGAAAAAGTGCTTTTTTGAGGAAGAAAATTGCGAAATACTCGAAAATCCCCAAGGTTTTTGGAAAGCCTGTAATTCAACACCACTAGAGTTGAGAGACTTTGTGAGATCAATATATGTAGAGGAGGTTGCGACGAACATTTTGAGCTATTTTTCATATCAATAGCTGCTCAGCGGAGTTTAGCGATTGCATTTTTATGAGGACGTCTTTTTTTTAGATGAGTTCCGTGGAAGGATCTTCGCGCGTTCCCCGAAATTTAACTTTGTCCGACGAAAATTTTCTTACGGCTAGATAGCCCAACAGACGATTGGCGATTCTATATATGTCATTGTTTTGAAAAAAACTTATAATTTGACGGAGAAAATGCAATTTTACGCGTCAGCATACTAATTCTACTGATAATTTTGTAATTTAATTTTCTCAACTTTGGAAGAAGCTAGAGCCAAAAACTTTTCACCGTTAAATAGGGCATTATTTATAGTATGTATGTCATCATTCAAAATATAAAAATTCGAACCTGCGGTTTTTGACCAGAATGCCGCCTAAATGTCCACTGTGCGATTCTCGCCGTTTCCTGTATTTCTGAGTGCGGTTCTCGCCGTTTCTCGTATCTTTGCTACGGTTCTTAATGGTTTAAAGAAAAATAACCATAGTAAAATTTTTTTCTCAAGCGTATAACTATCTTCGCTATTCTATCGAAGAAAGTCACAACTTGTGGACATTTCTTGGTAATGCAATACGCAATCCTTTTGCCACATGTGCTTGATTTTCTTGACTAAAGAAATTCCACCGGTTGAGTTTCTTGGGATCAAGCGTGTACTTTATGATGTTGCTCGGCAAGCGTGACGGAATTTCACTTTTTCGACTTCTTTGTTTTGTATCTTTGAAACCATGTAAGGGATTACGATGAAATTTTTATCAAATGAATATAAGAACACGTTCTTCAAATTTGGAAAGTGTGAGTTTGATCGGTACAATAGATCAGCAGTTACAGCAAAAATGAAGGCCGTGGCCAAATTTCAAAAAATTAAAAGTTTTTTTGGGTTCTCTTTGAACTTCGAACTTTTCAGTGAAATAAGGTACTGTCGTTTGATATACTTTACAGATTAATGTTTGCCAATGTTTGGGCTTCCAGATATGTCTTTAGTCTTGGTTTTAAGCGCTAAGATCAGTTAAAACGAGCAGAATATTGACCGTGACAGACTTTCATTCGTAACCGAATTGAACTAGTTCAGATTGAAATGTAGAAATATAAAATTGACTGGCACGAAGTATAGCCTATTTTTAATCAACGAGATCAAGGTTAATAGTAAAGAAACAAAACTTTACACAGAGACAAACAATAGTAACTAACAATAGAAGTAAAACGCTAGAGGAACAGTCACCTCACAGTTTTACATTTTGAATCTTTACCACTGTGACATTCTGTACAGCATTTACGGTTCTTTTTGTTACACTGGCACCGATTTGTGTTGCAATCACCAGTACATTTACAAGTATCGATTGATTTCAAATTTGTATAAAAATAGCAAAATGTTTACTTACGAGGGACGGCCACCAACTGCCTCCTCGCTTTTGAGCTTAAACTCAGTTGAAAATAGGTAATCGAACGTGCTGATTCCGAATATCACAATGGTTTTTGCCCGTTTTCGATTTAAAGACCCGTTTTTAAAAAGATCTTGGTTTTTCAATCGAAAAACCATTTTCACTAAAAAATTTCCTTGACCTGTCCAAATGAAAGAGCACGTCGTCAAACCTACAGAAAACAATTTTTCACGGTTCTAAGCGAGATTCTGAGTGAGTCTTCTGCGTCTGAAACTTGAGAAAAAAGGGAAAAACTGCTAATATTCATACACAATTTATAAAAGAAAATCTGCTGTTTTTCTTTCTGTTCTGTTTTTTCACACATGTTATTAGCAATTTGTGATAAAAGTGGCAATAAAGCAGTTTCACAGAGCCATGATTCGTAAAAATATTTGATGTGTTTTTAATGGAAATTATAACTGGTAAAAAAGTGTTGAAAACACAATTTCTTCGAACATCGAGCACAAGTTATAAAAACAGAGCCATCGCAGTCTTTTTCTTCACGCTGTATATGAGTTTCTGAACTTGCAAAGCGAATTTGATTAACGCTGACAAATGGAGAAGGATCTTCACGTATTAAGCCACTGGAGAACCAAGCGTATTTAATCATTAGCGTGAATAATGATTTGTCAACAAAAAGCAGGAAAAGTACAACCTTATAATCTAAAACCTTGAACTACCACCTTGAACAAGTATAGAAATGAAGCATTTGAAATGTTTTTAAATGAGCCACTTTTTTTCTTGTTGGCTCTAGTCTATACCCTAAAGCGTTCAGGTTTGTCGCTTTGTCATTTTTAAGATAATTAGGTATGAACTGCGTCTTGAAATCTATAAAATCCCCAAATGGCTTGCCCACGAAATCCCATGCCGATGTTTTAAAATTTTTTACGTGACACGTTCTCACTTAGAATTAAGTGTTCTTTCCAATGAGATGTGTCTCGATTTTTGCGGCAGACCTTCATGTAAAGTGTGGGACAGTACCGAAAGAATTACCCCAAAGATTACTCACAATCGTGTATGTTTCAAAGAGAAAGCGATTGGACATCTGGAAAGGTTCTCTCATGAGAGCAATTTCAAGCTAAGAAGTTATTCTAATAGTCGAAAACCATGCAGAACTAAAAGCTTTTTGACAGATTTTTCGAAAATCTCTTAGAAAACCACAATACTCCGATATTCAAGCTTTGGCAAAGTCCTACGTTTGTTCAGTTTCTTTAATCTCCATATTTTTAAAAAATTATCACCTTACTGAGGCTTGCTATTTGGAAAAACTGAAATATATTTTAAATTTATCCAATTTTAGTTCAGAAATCAAGATGTAAATCATTCTTAAAATTTAGTTTTTCAATATGAAAAGTGTTCTAAATCGGATTATGATGTAGAAAAATTTTCTTTATTATTCGATCAAGAAATGCACCTTTTCATTTATGATCTCTTTCTGTCGAAGTTTTATATTTGAATTATGGTCAAAAAAAACATCCTCGTCATCTTACCAGATCATCACGTTGTATTTTTCAACCTTATGTCCGACCTAACACACTATATTAACAACGAAATTTGCTATATTTAGCATTACCGTCTAACTTCCGATTGAAATTGCTTTGACGATTTTTCAATGCTGAGATTGACCGCAGTACGTAGTAACCCCGATCGAGACCCTCGACCACTTTAGAAAGTCATAAAAATGCCATTCTGGGTCCGACAATGTAATAAGATGCGACAAATTCACTTCATTTTCGAAAAAAAAATCGTTCTGGATGCTGTGAAAAGGGATTGTTATTGTATTTTCACTGCTAATTTAGTTAAACGTGTAGTAACTAACGCTTTTTAGTTTTAACATAATTTTATTTGGATATTTCGACATTTTTGTACAATCATTTTCAATAATAACTGAGTAAGAGCGAGAAGAAAAATACACATCAACTGCTATTACTCGTGTGCAATATCACAGGAATAAAAAAACACCATTCAAAATAACATCATAATCTTTTTTTGTTTTATATTGCGCATATAAAAAAACTAGTTCGAATGGAAGGGAAGCCGTCAAAAAAAAAAAAAGTCGTCCGGTAAATAAATTCACCGATGCGCACGATGGAGTTTCTCTTTTGTCATAAATAAAATATTTATATTTAATATCACTTTTTCTATATTCTTTTCAGACAGATTAAACGACACTGTACTCAATTTTTTTTCCAATCCAGTTACCGGTGAATAAATTCACCGATGCGAATTTTGACGGCTTCCCTATGATGAAGGAAATAAACTATATTTCAAATTTTTATAAAAAAAAATTGTACCTTAAAAGTTTGAGCTATTTTGAACGTGTTTTGAAGGATTTATAGAATTTTTATTAATGTATATATTTGATATAAAACGTACGTTCAAGGAATATTTCTCTACTGTCTTTCCTTTGAGTCCCATGAAAAAACAAATGTTACCTCGATATTTAACGTGTGCGATTGCATATGTCTAAAATGTGTTAATGAGAAGGAGGGCCAATATGTAGGTTGTATCTCTGAAATTATGTCAGCTAGCGAGTTCGAGTTTGCATAGAAGTTTTTTGAACAGGAAAAAGTTAAAAACAGTCTGAGAAGATATACTATTTGGATTTAATGTTCGGACCTGTTTTTTCATAGGTATGTTGCTCCTGGTTTTAACTTTAAAATGCCAAAAAACTACAGATCTCTAGCTCTTTTCATTTTCCCGAGTTATTCAAAACATAGTCACTTCCATTCTGGAGTGGCCAGTAAGTTAGTTGCATTTACTTATCTTAGTTGATTTACATTTTTTTATCTACAGAAAGAAAAGTATTGACACAATCGATTCTAAAGCACATTTTTTTCGTGCTGGTCTACCACAGTTGTCGAAGGATTCGCAATGTGTAATAACAAAAAGTACTTGAATCATTTTACATTTTAGTAAAAACGAAGAATGATGTTTGCTTTGTTATCGTTGCACTTTTATTTTTATTCGTTCTTTTGTGTGATTGTGTAGTAATCTAGAAAGAGGAGAGCGGTGGATACTTATTAGCTTAAAAAACAATACCTTTGTACAATGGATGTTAAAACTTGGTCTTGTCCCAAGTGTTCGTTGATAAATCCAATGGAAATGTCAACATGCGAAGTTTGTTATTATTCTAATGAACATCCAACAATCTGGAACTGTTTTTATTGTACATTTTTGAATATACAAGAAACAAATGTATGTGAAATGTGTTCAGGATTAAGGAATAAAAGTCAAAAAGAACAATCATTACAGAACCATACAATATCATCATTATGTCAGAAATGCCAGAAGTCGGTGAGTACATTAGCGATAAAGAAAGCAAACAAATCTCAAAGCAAGATTTTCTCTTACTAGAAGGTTCAGCTCGTTGTTTTGTTTATTTCTTATTTGGGCCATTAATTCAAGAGATGCCTACATTCAAACTTTCAACAAAACTGTTAAATTAAAATAAGAATAAACATATTGCTAGAAACGTCCCTAAAGATTTTAATATCAGAAGAAATCGCTACAGTCTCAGGTAGTGTTGTACTCCACTAACGAGCAGTCTTATTAAAAAAGCTGCTCAGGACTGTCTCCGTTCGAACATAATAGACCTTGATTTGAGCTTACTGAAGAGTATTATGATTAGATCGCCTATTTGAGTGATGCCTGCTGATGTCTAGGCTAGAAGGAGGATGGGGGCTTTAAAATTTTGTAAAAGAGAATGAATCACAAATATTTACATCTCATAGAAAGCGAGGAAAAATTTGAGATCTAACAGGGTTAGATGTATAACTCGACTCATCAGCGTTCCTTGACTTAAAGAAACTAATAATTATCAGCTTTTTCTGGATTATTGGAGACAAAGATTCATTTGGCAACATCGGATGACATTAGGTTACGTAAACATTAGTCATTGATGCGATTAAAATTAACAAGGTGGCTGGAAGATGGAACAAATACGAGACAAATCAGCGTATAGCTGTCAGCAAAGAGGATCAAATCAGCCGATAGTCGTTGGACTTTTCTAACGATAAATTTCTTTCTAGAGTAAAATCGTATCTAAACCCATTTTAAAATGCATTACCAATAAATGCATTTAAAAACGCAATGTAATATTCTTCGCAAAAAATGATGTTAAACGCGTTTTGTCATGAAAAAATGTGACAAATATATTTTAGTGAGCCTTTTCACGTTAGAAAAGTCTTACTCTTCCAGATTCTTACTCAAAGATTATAATCATTCCCTTTATTGCTGTTTTTTTATTAGACTTCCAATGGTAAATCGATTTGTGCCACATGTGAACGAACTCCTGGTGGTTTAGTTAATTCTTTAACTCCTCGGGGTTTAATTAATTCGTCAATGACTCTTAATCGAAGTTTATCAACAGCATCTAAACACATGTCACTTCTTGTTGTGGAACGTCAGAAAAACGATGAAACAGATGCAGAAAAAATCTCTAGAGCGATCACTCGATATTGCCGAAGCGTAAGTATAAAAACCAGCATGTTATTTGGTATTAAATTCGACTTTATGCGCATCTATTTGTTCCGATGTAGGCAAACATTCATTTTGTGGATGATTCATTTCCACCTATCTCACGGTCAATTGGAGATGATCGGCTTGGTGCCAAATGTTCACAATGGTTAAGAATACGTGATATTGCTGCAAGGTCAGATGATGATTCTAAATTTAACTGGTCAGTTATGTTGAAAGATCCAAATCCGGCAGACATAGAACAAGGACAACTAGGTGACTGCTGGTAAGAGAAGGTTTCTATAATAAACAAATGACTTTCTTTGCAATTTACCTCAGTAAGTCGAACGTAATCTCGAAAATTTTTTCTCAAGGCCTGCTTTCTCTTACTTAAATAAATAAAGCTGTCGCGCCCTAGCATCTCACAGTCGATATATATTATTCTATACACAAAACAAGCAGCAGTCAATCATTTCTGACTGCATAGATTTATATCATGTACGTGAAACAGCTTGTAGCTAATAGATAAGAAAACATACAGTGATTTGCAACCTCATTCTTGCTAGTTGCTTGAATATATATATATTTATATTCACGCCAGAGTTCGAGATGTCAAGCGGAATTGCCCAAGGGAGGTTGAAAAAAGGCAGTGGATCCAAAAATGATCTATTAATTCATTTTACATTTGTCCTATCACTGACGGATTTCGGATATAGATGAACACAGGTTAAAATTTTCTTCCATTATTTTCTTTCACATTTCAAAAACATTCGTCCAAAAAAATGTCCTTCTTCGTGAAAAATTAGTCCAAAAAAAAGTGTTTTTCTCCATTAAAACGTGATTAATCTATATCGTGCGTACGCTTATTGTGCGTTTTCTTTTATTCTGAATAAAAAGAAAACGAAGCGACTTATATAGTACCGCACTCCAAAACTATTTTCAGCCCTCAGAAGCTAACGTAATGGATATCTAAACGAAACAGTTATAGCAAAATTACACATTGAAGGATAACATCGAGTCATTACACAACTTCAATTATTGTGCAGAATATAGGAAAGAACAGCGAAGTTGATTTTTGCAGTTCGTCTGCAAAGATCAAGTTCGTGTGTTCGATCCTAGCTTCGTGCAAGGATTGATTTTGTGTTTTGATAGTTTAAGTTTCAGAATGATATAATGGGAATTTATATTCTCGTAATTCTCCTAATAAAACAGCAACTACTTTCTGTGAGATTCGGCTATTCTAAAATGTGAACAATTTCGTCGTTATTCAGTACTTTATCGATGGGGAAATATCGATGGATTTAGAGGGATCGAAATAGTAGTTGAAGCCTCGAAATCGAACGGTTGACGAGTGACTGACCTCGAGCCGTCGACTATTCTGATCGGTTTCGATGGCTCGAAAAATTGTAGAGGGTTAGAAATTTAAGTTTCGATGGACCAGTCATTTCGAGGGATTGGAATATCGATGGAGCAGGTCCCCTCGAAAAAAATTTCGCTCTGTCGGGAAGGAATATTCCAAAACTTACGATTACTTATCGCATCTATCGAATGAGTTCTTTTATCTGTCTGGGAATGCATAAATTACAATATCCAACATCGAGAGATTTACTCCGGAATAGTCCGCTATACTGTGATAATCTCTCTCAACATTATTTCCACCATCTCACAATCATGCTAAATTATCCCAAAATGTCAGATATTCTGTGAGATTGTGGAATACAGTGAGACGTTGTGAAAATATATTTGAGATTTTGCTCACAATGTAGCGGAATAACCTAGAGTAAGCCTTTCGATGCGGGATATTATAGACTGCACATTGTTCTACTTTTTTTTCGCATTTAATCGTCATCATTTTTTACAGTGCAGTTGCAAAGAGATCGAATTCACACAAAAGTGTTTCTAATACCACCGTATTATTCAAAGTGCAAAGATGGACTTGAAGTTTTGAATTTTATCAGACTTTAACAAATCCTTTAATTCCATGTAAATTCAAATAAGTCCAATAAACTATAAAAGTACAAAACTCTGTAGTACTCCTTGATATTCACCAGTTCAGAAAAGTGTTTTGGATAGTCTATCTTAAGGGAGAAAATATCAAATTTGTAGCAAAGTTGCGTGAATCAGAGTTGGAACCGCTTGAAGTTTTCCTAACCGGACCAGACCGGCCGGTTTAATGCGCAGTTCAACCGGTAATAAACCGGTCGATTCCATAGCAGAATAAAGTCCGGATTTTGTGAAAAACCGATTTTTTGCAGAAAGCTAAGC